TCACACCCAGATGATTCCTTCTCCAGGTTTTAATATTATTTTTAAATTGAAAAGCCAGAAATAACAGCTTTAGAGGTTTGACAATGGCAGCATATCATTGGAACTTCAGTTGCATAGTTCTGGATCTCTCTACAATTTGCAGTTCAAGAATTTCTTGATCAGTTCCCTCATATCTGCTCTTAGTAGTGAGCCAGATGCTTCAACTGACAAGTGCATTACGCTTTAAAGATGAGAGTTTCTTCTGCTCAGGAGACAGCAGAAAATAAATTCTTAGCATCTTTGGTTGCATTCAGATTAAAAAGTCTTTCCTTGAGTTTTTCCATTGAATGGAAGACAGGGATAGATATTCTCACTACTACGTGCTCAGTTATTGCCGCCTATCAGTAAAATCATTAAGCATTAGAATGAATAATGGACACTGGTTATTTACACTAGAGTTTAGTGAGCCTCAATTCCAATTTCATCTTACCTTAGAAGTATTTTGATACTGAAGTTATAGATGGTTTGTTCAATATTATAGAAATGTTCTTTCTTGGTATAGTTCCATGAAATGTTTTAAACCTTATTATTCAAAGTCATCTGAGCATGCTTACCCTTAGCATCACTGCTTTATGATAGAAACAAAATTTACTTGCTCTTTTTTATCTATGACAGTGGAAAGTTGCATGGGCAATGGCGCTAACTTGATGTGGTTCACCATTTTCACTCATCCTTGGGGCGGTTCCCTGCCTGAAGGTAAATCGTTGAGTGTGAGTGTTCTCTTGGAGAGAGCAAAGGCAATCTTGCTGCACACACAGTGACATGTTCGGTCACTACTGGTTCCCCTGCACCTCCTCCAGTGTAAAACACAGCGAACAAGTAAAGGAAAAAGCCTCTACAGCACAAGATGGTAGTGATAATTGGAATATAAATTATCAAGCTCCTTTCCCTTATATATGTTCTGTGTATGGCAAACACTGAGTTTGTACTGCTTATCTGAGATTGGTTAAAATAAGCATCTGTTAAGACACTTTATATTGAAGTCCATAGCATCAGTTAATATAACAATTTTGCCAAAAACTTGTAACTCTTTTTGTTATTTCTGAGTATACCTTCCCAGAGGTGCTTCAGAAATCATATGACTTTTTTGGCTTTTGCATCAGGGATAGTTTAGATCCCAATTTCACCTTTATTCCATTCTTTAATGGAAAGCACTATTTCGCATCTTACACATTTGTTCAGGAAAAGTTCAATAGCCTTCACAGAGATAGATTATTGTTCGACTTTGAAATCATGCAACTTCACCACATGTGGTGGGTCGTGAAGACATTCTTGGGTAGTGGACTTTTAGTCTGGGGGGAATCTTATGAGAACTCTTAAGCTTCATCTTGAGATACAGAATATACGGAGAAGAGGGGAAATTACTTAACCATTGTGTGCCTCATTTATAAAATGGAGAGAATTATATGTATCTTATAGAATTATTCTGAGTATTAATTGTGTGTAAATGCCTTGGAATGTCTAGAATGGAGTAAACACCAGTAAATCATCATTGTTGTGACAGGTGAAATGTGATGACTTGCTTTGGTGTCCTCTTATGGAGAGGGATATGTGACCCCGTTGCCTAGCCAACAGCCTCCTCCATATGACCTGACTACCACCAGTTACTATCACTTTTATTCAAGGTCTAAGTCCTAACAAAATAGACATACTTTGTCTTAATCAGCCCCATTCTCTGTTGTCTAAATTACCTGCCACAGTGCTAGGCAAGCCGATCGACAGCACATAGTTATTTGAAGACATTATACTTATTTTATCATGTTGCTCTTAGAGTTTGGTATAACACATCCTCATCTTATTGACCTAGTATTTCTTAATTTTAACTTGCAATTTAGCTGCTTCTCTCTACATAGCATCTAATTCTTTAAACATAAATATGTAATAATTGAAATTCAACCAAGAAGGAAAATTTCACATCAGAACCAAAAAATGTAACAGTGATAACAAAGTATAATTTCAACAGTATCTTCTTAAAGGAAACTGCATAATTTAATCAAGCATCTTTCCTATTAATCCAAAAATAAACGAATAAGTAGAAAATCAACTCAGTACCCTTTATAGATATACTCATTAGCTTAGAAATTCAATAAATCATCAGAATTAGACAAAATACATTTCAAGTTTCTTATTCGACGCCTCATCATCTGCTGGTATAAATGAGATTCAACTTTACATTTGGTAATTTTGACTCTTTGCATTATGAGGATTAAACATCATAAATAGTTTTCCTTGATATTTGAGTTATTGCATGATTCTCAGAGATAAAACTGTAAAA